GGCAAAACTGGAAACACAGCGTTTTCATTGATTACAGCGCTTGTTTTTTATTATTATTGATTTTGGATCAACACAAAAATCGGAAACAAATAATTTGCAGTTTGATTAGGAAAACTAGAAGAACCATAGTTTTTTACGTCGTAGACACAAATATTGGAACAACATGGGGAAACAACGTACGATTTCTATTGCGTGTTTAATCACAACACATTGAAAGCAAAGTGTTTTTTTGTTTTTTGGGATTGGCTTAATTGGGAAAGCTGGAGAATACAGTTCTTTTTTGATTTTCAAATAAAATTGGAACCCCATCGTATTTTATTCTTCTGCTTTTACGGAAGCGCTGTGAAACACATAGTTTTCAATGATTTGTTATGTAACCAAAAGTTGCAAAACACAGCGTTAATATTTGTTCTTGAATGAAGATATTGGAAACATGCAGCGCGCATTGCTTTTTCAACGCTTCCACATAGAACCCCAAATAATCGTATTAAAAACTATACATACATGAAGTAACAGTGCGTTCGCACGCTTACGCTTTCAATCGTTTCTAAAGCATGTCCCATATGTTTCCACCCTGGTGGCGCATCTGTGGCGCCGCTGTTTTTTCTCTGGCAAATAATGCTTTCATGCAGAATCAAAAAATAATCTTATTAAAAGAATAAATACATGAAACAATCGTGCGTTCGCACGTGTACGCCTTCAAGCGTTTCTGATGCGTTTCCCACATGTCTCCACACTCGTGGCGCATCTGTGGCGCCGCTGTTTTTTCTCGCACGCACTACTCCCACACAAAATCCCAAAGAATATTATCAAAAACTGTAAATACATGAAGTAATAGTGCGTTCGCACGCTTACGCCTTCAAGCGTTTCTAATGCATTTCCCATATGTCCCCGCCCTGGTGGCGCATGTATGGCGCCGCTGGTTTTTCTGGAATTTACTGCTTTCGCACAGAATCCAAAATAATATTAGTAAAAACCATAAATGCATGAAGTATTTGTGCGTTCGCGCGTTTACGTCTTCAAGCGTTTCTAGTGCGTTTCCGATACGTTCCCACACGTGTGGCGCATCTGTGGCGCCGGTGTTTTTTTCTCGCATTTATTGCTTTACACAGCTCCCCCATAGTCTTAGACTCCCTGAGACAATGCGCAGAGGGTCACAATGACGCCCAAGGGGGCGTGGCAAGAACGGGAGAGAGAGAGTGAGAGAGAGAAGCAGAGAGAGAGAGAGGAGAGAGAAATGGGGAGGGAGGGAGGGAGAGAAGAGAGAGGAAGGGATAGGGAGGGAAAAGATTATAAACTATAATGACGATGACGCGGAAGAGGGAGGAGGAATATTACTTTTTGGTAGACAGAGACAAAGCGCAACCGCGCGACCCCAATCAGCGCGAAACCCGCCGACTCGCTTCCGCCCGCTCCCGCTCGGCTCCCGCGAAGCTCCTCTGGCGAAAGGCGTTTCGACGAGATCCTGCAAATGCTCCATTCGTGCTCGCAAACTGCAAGAGGAAATGCGGACCTAGAGGCATGCGAGAGAGAAAGGGAGAGAAAGAGAGAGAGAGAGAGGGAAAGCGAGAGACAGAGAGAGAGAGAGAGAAAAAGACAGAGAGAGAGGGAGAGAGAGAGAGAGAGAGCAAGAAACAGAAAACGAGAAATGCGATGATAAAGCAGGAAAGCACACAAGCCACCTAGGCAAAGATACCACCCACCCACCCCTCCCCCCCGATGGCTGTCAAATTCGAACCTTTCCCCCCTCCCCCACTTTCGCCACGGCGCCCCCTGGTTCCGGAACCCGACCCCTGCCACACCCAACGCTACCACCCCGACCACATGCAATCCTAAGCTCAAACCCTACACCTCGCCCCATACAGTTCGCAGTGCTCATTACGCACTACTCACTACCCACTACTCACTACTCGCTACTCACTTCTCAATTCTCACTACTCACTGCTCACTACGCACGACTCACGACTCACAACGCACTACTCACTACCCACTACCCACTACTCACTACTGACTACTCACTACTCACTACGCCCAACTCACTACTCACTACTCACGATTCACCACCGAATATTCAATACTCACTACTCACTAAAAAACTACGCAATACCCAATACTCAGTACTCACTAATCAGTACTCAGTACCGAATATCCACTATCCACTACTCACTACTGGGTACTCGCAATTCACTCCTCACTACACACTGCCCACAACTCACTACTTAGTTTCCGCGGCTCGCTACTCGCTACTCCCTACTCCTCACACAGTACTCACTGCCCACTATTCGCTACTCACTACTCGCTACTCCCTACTCGCTACTCGCTACCCGATACGCGATATTCACTACCCACTACGCACTACTCACGACTCCCTGCTCCCTACTCCCGACTCACTAGTTACTAGTCACAAGTCACTACTCATCACTCACTACTCAGTGCTCACTTCTGACTACTCACGAGGCACTACTCACTACTCACTACTCACTACGCAATACTCACTTCGCACTATCCACGACTCACTACTCACTTCTCACTTCTCAATACTAACTACTCATTACTCACTACCCACTACTCACTACTCACTACTCATTAGTCACGACTCGCTACTCCCTACTCACTACTCACTACTCCCTACTCACTACCCACTACTGGCTACTCCTTCCTCACTACTCACTACTCACAATGTCCTACTCGCTACTCACTGTTCACTACTCGCTACTCCCTATTCGCTACTCACTACTCACTACCTACTTCCCACTACCCACTACTTACTACTCTCTACGCACTACTCACTACTCACTACGCACGGCTTACTACTCACTACTCACTACTCACCCCTCGCTACTCGCTACTATCTACTAACTACTCACTATTCACTACTCACTATTCTCTACTCTCTACTAACTACTCACCACTCACTAGCCTGAGGCCACACACACACACACCCTTGCGGGAGAGGCCCCCTCCCCGGCCCCCCTCTGTTCGGCGCAAAAGAGGGGGAGCGGGGGGGGGTTCGACCCCCCCCCTCCCTACCAGCGCCAAGGGGGGGAGGCAGGGGGGGAGGGGCGGGGGGCGGTTCGAAAATCCCCCCCCCCTTTGAAGGGGGGCCCCGCGCTCAGCGTTGCACCAATTATTCGATCGCGCGGCGTCGGGAACAAACGCGTCAGGTTTCGGTGGGGGACCGCTCGAAGCAAAATAAAGATTGCCGGTTGTTTCTTAGCTTTGTTCGGTCGTCCAATGCCTTCGTGCTGAAGGTCTTTATGAGCATCCCACAATGCACTCCAATTGTGAGGGTCCAATTGAATTATCTAGTGATGTTTTCCGGAGGATTCCTTTTGTGACGCTTTCCAATAGGAACCCTCAGTAGTGTTGTTCACGGGATTTGTGTTGTGAGGTGTTCCCGTCAAATCCCTGTGTGATGATTTTTAGAGGGCTCCTAGTGTCACACTTTCCAAAAAGAGACCCCAGTAGCGCTTTCCAAAGAATTCCTCTTGTTAGGCTTACTCAGAATCCTTTCGCAACACATTCTAATATGATTCCTTTTGTTGTAAGTTTCCGTTGTGTCCTGCTTCCCCGTCACCAGCCCCGAGGATGTATGACCTTTGTTGGGGCCGACCAGCAAGGATGGTAAGCAGAGCAGGGCAGAGAAACGACGCTCCCCGTTAGGCCTGTACCGCCTATATGTATAGAGAGAGAAAGAGAGAAGGAAATAACGAAAGAGAGAGAGAGAGACACATACATACATACATACATACATACATACATACATACATGCATGCATGCATATATATATATATATATATATATATATATAGATCGGAGGCAGGGGGGAGATCGAAGTGGAAAGGAGAGCCCTCCACCAGAAAATCTGTTTCGGTTTCGGGTTCGTGTCGCGCGTGCGGGCGAGGCGAAGCTGCGTGGGCGGGAAAGACGAATGATTACGCTGTGGCTAGGGCGGGGCCAGAGCCGTTGACCGATCCGCCTCCCAGGCGGGCAGTTCTGGGCGGTGTCCCGCCAAGATGTCCCAGCGGTGTCCCGTCGGTGTCCCGTCGGTGTCCAGTCGGTGTCCCGTCGGTGTCCCGTTGGTGCCCCGTCGGTGTCCCGTCGTTGCCCCGTCGGTGTCCCGTCGGTGTCCCGTCGGTGTCCCGTCGGTGCCCCGTCGGTGCCCCGTCGGTGTCCCGTCGGTGTCCCGTCGGTGTCCCGCCGACGTCCCGTGGGTGTCCCGTGGTGACATCGATGCTTCGATCCATAGTCAGATCGATAGTGAGACCGATCGTGTAATCGATAGTCGTAGGTTGGGGGGTGAGACCGATAGTCCGATCGATAATGAGATCGATTGTGAGATCGATACCGGGATCGATAATGAGATCGATAGTGAAACCAGTAGTGGTATCAGCCGATGTGAGTCGAACGCGAGGTGGCATGTATTTGGAGTGAGCTGCATCGCGGCTGTGTCGCCTTCATTACAATTACCTTTATTCAGTCTAACCATGAATGTCATCGTTCAATGTTGCCAGCTCATCGCCATCACAGTCATCACAATTGTCAGTGGGCTATCACTCGAAGGGTGACCGTATATGTGTATCTATGTCTATAGAAGTAACTCAGGCACACCCCGACGAACTTACAAAGTACCTTCAGGGAGGATGGCAGTGTACAAAATCGTTGGCTCCCAGCGATGATTTATAATACACCGCCACCCTCCCCGGAGGCCCAGCAACAATCCATTTGAGGGCGTCTGTGTATAGACTCGTGTGGCGGGCTTTGGTAGGGGAACAAAAAGTGACATAAACATAAAAACTCGGAGGTCCGCGCGGATTTCTCGGATCGGCGCTGGACCCCCCTCCCTGGCGCGCGGAGCGCGCCAGTGGCGGCGCCGGAGGCGCCGCCGGGGGGCCCTGGCGCCGATCCGAGACATCCGCGCGGACCTCCGAGTTGTTATGTTTATGCCACTTTTTGTTCCCCTGAAATAGACTCGTGTGGCGGGCTGTCTTCCGACCCGATCCTCGAGGGCCTCCCTCACCGCGTCCTCGGAGAGGCCGCAGGCCTCCATGGCGGGGACCTGACTCATCGCGACCATGGCGTCGAACTTCCCGAGCCGGCCGGTGCCCCTGGACCGGGGGCTGCCAGGGGTGCCCCTGGCCCAGGCTGGCCTGACGTCGGGCCTGCCCCTCTACAGGAGGGATATTCCGCAATAGGAAAAAATAACCTGGGGGCGATTCGTTCAACTAGGTTTGCCCATGTGGGGGGGGGGGGGGGGGGGGGGGGGGCATTTTTGGGGGGGCATTTTGGATTTTGTCGCCACAGTCCCCCCTGTCGGGGGACCCGCCCGACTTAGCGCCGACCCCAGGGCAGGACACCCCTCACGAGGCCACGAGGGCCCCCCGGGGGCTCCGAGGGGAGCGGAGCTCTGGGAGCGCCAGGGGCCAGGGAGGGAGGCACCCGCGGCAGCCCCCCCCGGCCTCACGTCCTGCCTCACGAAGGCGGCCATGATCTGCCGGCGCTCCCGCTCGCTGTAGAGGCGCATCATCTTGCGCAGCTCCGGCAGGTCGAGCCGCCCAGAGTTGTTCACGTCCACCTCGAGGGGGCCCAGGGGCACACAGGCAGATGCACACAGATCCCAGGATCCCCCATGTTTTTTGGATGTCCGTCTTCCCCCCCACTTCCCAGATCCTCCACATTTTCACATGCTCTGGGGAATCGACGATTAATGGCTCCTGTGTGATAGTTTCCCTCCTGACACCTTCCCGACGACGTAGCTCGCGAAGGTGAAGGGCACGACGTAGCCGAGCCACCGCAGCAGCTTCCCCAGCTGCGCCGTGCCAATCTCGCCCGTGCCCTCCGCGTCGAACCTCGAGAACGCCTTCTGGATCTCCCTGTCCTCGGCGGAGCTGAAGCCCTCCCGCGAGCGGTAGACGGAGAGCAGCTGCCACACGGAGCTCAGGTCCATGGACGACATGTCCCGGACGCCGGTCGAGACCGCAGCCTCCCGCAGCGCGCTCTCGTGGGGCAGGTAGCCCAGCATGCGCACGAGGCCGGCCATCTCGTCCATCGACACCACGCCGTTCCCGTCCGCATCGCTGAGAAGCATGTACTTCCTGATCTTGGCCACCTCGCGCTCCCGCACCTTGCGCATGCAGATCAGGTACTCGCGCCGGTTCAGGGTGCCGCTGCGGTCGACGTCGACCTGGGCCAGGATCTCAGCGCACTCCGCCCTGTCGCTGAGGTAGCCCAGCCAGCCCATGATGGAGGTGAGCTCCTGGGAGTCGATCTCGCCCGACTTGTCGTAATCGAACATGTCATACACGCGCATAAACTCCTCGTGCTCCCTCCTGGTGAAACCTTCGCGATAGTGAATCAGATCCATCACGGCTTCGAACTCTTCAAAATCCAGCGTGCCCGTCCCGTCTGGGTCGGTCTCCTCGTACACCTCGTCCAAGACGTGCCTCATCGGCTCGATCCCGACTTCCCTAAGAAGGTCCGCGAGCTCGTTCTGGTCTATGGCATTCGAGCCATCCGCGTCGCACCTCTTGAACGCGTCAGTGTAAGCCTCCTTCTGCCGCTGGAAGCAGCGGCGCACGAGCTCGACGAAGTCGTCCACGCTGATCGCGCTATACGAAGTGAGCTTGTAGTAGACATCGTCCACCATCTTCGGATCCACGCTGCCCAAGCCGGCCAGCTCGAGCGTGAGGGGCAGGTCATCGTGGTGGACCTGGCCGTCGTCCTGCATCTTCTGGAACACGCCCCGCCACAGCGGCTCGTTCTCGACCTGTACCAAGGAAAAGTCCTGCGAGCGTGCTGACGATCTTCGTCGTCCCGCAGGGTCCTGGTCAGGCGGCTGAGAACTGGCCACGCTCAGCCTCGGCGATGCCCACGACGCCGCCGTCTTGAACCTTCTGGTGAAGACGGAGTCCTCACCGTCCGTCGCGTGGAAGACAGACAGGGCGAAGGCCTGCGACCCCGAGCCGCCCGCCTCGTCGTCGCTGGGGTCCTCCTGCCCGGACGAGGGCGCCTCCCCGTCGACCGCCCGCCGGTGCCGCTGCATCCGCTGGCCGAGCGTCTCGTGCCGGCCGCCCCGCAGGCCGCGGCCGCGGCGGCTGCGCTGCCGGCGCTGCGGCGAAGCGCCGCACGGCCGCGCCGAGGCCGGCGAGGGCCGCCGGCGCGGCGGCGCCGGCTGCAGGCACGGGTGGCCCGCCGGCAGCAGCGCGTGCAGCAGCGACATCGAGGCGTTGACGGGGCGCCTGTCGGCGGTGGACAAACCTCCCTTTCGTAGACCTCCCCTTAGTGAAAACGGCCTGGAACCGAAACCGACGGACCTGGACCCGCAAAAATGACGGCCGCGACGCCCTCTCGCGAACCGAAAACGGCCAATGCCTTAATCGACGTGTCAGGGTAGGAGGTCTGTCCATCCCCGAGCCTGGGCGCGCGGCGTCTGCCCGCGTCGGGCGCCGTCCTCTTCTGGGAGGCCCGGCGCTCCCCGCGCGGCGGCGCGGTGTCCGCGGGCCTGCCGGGGGCCAGCTCCCGCGCGGCCAGCCGGTCGGCGGTGCGCCTCGCCTGGCGCTCGTCCGCCCCGTCCGCGGCGTGGGCGGGGGCGGCGCCCACGAGCTCGTGGACCTTTACCGGCCTGGAACCCAGACCACCTCGAGTCTTGAAAAAATCACGACGGCAGGTTTTTCGCTATTTTCGGCCTCCGGGGGCCCTTACGGGCCCTCAGGACCGCCAAAAAACGACTCGGGATGAAAAGCCGGTCCCGGGGAAGGTGTCTGGACCTCTGGGGGTCGCGTCATGAAAAAAACATGACGTCGGGGGTCTGGGAACATATCCCTATCACAATGCTGGGCACCTCCTCATCACGATGCCAATCTTAGGGAGTCCCTTCTTTTTTGAGGGCGGATCCCTAGGATTGTCATCGCCTGTTGGCGTGGCAATCTTAGGGATAGGGATACGTTCGAGGCTGGTAAGACCTTGCAGTACTCCTGCCTGCGCAGGAGCTTCGCGCGCCCGGCCTCCCTGTCGGCCTCGCCCACGGGCCAGGCGGGGTCGTAGCGGGCGGAGGACGCCAGCCTGCGGGGGGGGGAAGCGAGGGGGCGGGGGCCCGGCCCAGGGGGCGGGGGAGCACGGCCTCAAAATCGGCGACGGGACTGGCTCAGGGTTGAACCCAGGCATGTTCCTCTTCAGGAGGAATCTGCGAAAAAAAAAAAAAAAACATCTGGGGACGAATGCATGACTAGTTGTTTGACTACTTCTGAATATTGTTGGACTGCTGTGGGGCTTTCTTCCAAGATCCGCATGTAGGAGGACATGCCCGACCTAGGCTTAAGGGGGGAACATGGCCTGGGACTCAGCGATGATGCAAATCGCCGATGGCTCGGCGGCAGGCCCGCGACAGCGAAAGCGTGCGTTCCTGGGCCCGGCGTGGCACCCGGGCCCCGCTTGGCCATGGGCGATTCGGGATCGCTGCTCCTTCCCTGAGCTCCGGCGTTGCGGGAAAATTGCGGCCCCGCGAAAAATCACGCATGGAGCCCCCGGCCCCATCCCCCCTGCGTCATTCTTCGAGCCGGATCGATCTGCGGGGGCCCCAGGGCCCGAAGCCGGGCGACGGCGCCCGTCGTGAAGAAATCGCGGCGCCAAGATCTGAGGGCCAGGCCCCGGGCCAGTCCCTCCCTTGAGCAGGGACCGACCGTCCCGGCATTCCTATCTGGCCATCGCTCGGACGTCCATTCCCTGTGCTTTTTTCGGTTTCGTGCGTGGTTTTTTCGCCGAATGATCAAGGATGCTCCTCGATGGTCCTCGCCGAAGGAAAAATGCACACGTCCGAGCGATGCCAAGCAATAGGCCTACCACGATATGTTCTTAGAACCCGAAAATGTTCTATGAACAAAAACCATGTTCTTAGAACATGAACCCGATGTGTTAAAACAGGACAGACTCAGCCAGAAATGTTCTGAGAACATATCATGGAAACCACAAAAGGTTCTCAGAGCATTCTTTGGAAGGCCTATAGGCGAGCCAGGACGCTTCGCCACTGCTTGACCCCCCCCCCGCCGTTGCCCCCGGCCGCCTCTCGTCCGCTGGCCGGTGCTGTGGGCCCTCGACCTCTTTCAGCGCGCTGTGCATCTTCCGGCGCAGCCAGCCGGGCAGGGGCGGGATTCGAGCAGGGGATCGACTCCAGGATTGACTTATATACCCCAGAGTTGCCCTCCTCGTCGAAACCTACAAGAAAGGCCTAGCAACTTCCATGGATTCGGCGAAAGCAACAACTTGGGGGTACATCGATTCTGGACAGCGGGGGCATTGGACAAGGAACCCTTAGATAAAGAATCCAGGGTCTGGAAGCCTGTGGAGCTCCAATCGTGCATCGGCCACATGACGATCACCGCTGCCCTCATCATCAGATATAAGGAATCCTCCAGGGTCTGCAGCCTCCCAGGCCATTCCTTCACGAACGCCCCCCCCGCAGTCGATCCACTGCTCGAGGGATCTCCCGCGGCGAGAACTCCACCGCCGCCTGCCCCGGGGTCCCAGCCGCCCTCTTGGCGTAGGCCCCCCCTCTCGGGTGGGGCAGCAGCCTCACCGGAGACTCGCAGCCTGGATCACCTGTTTGTTTTGTGGAGCAGGGGCCAGCCATCTCGGCATTCATGTTGGACTACCACGAACGACTTGTTCCTAGAACCAAAAAATGCCCTAAGAGCAAAAGGCACTGTTCGTAGAGCATGAGCCCGATGTGCTAAAAGACGACAGTCTCTTAGCGAGAGATGCTCTAATAATCTCAGAAAATCTCGTGCAGACTACCAAAGGTTCTCAGAACCGTCTTTGGTGGGCCCATGGGCGAGCCAGGACGTTTCGCCACGGCGTGATGCTTTGGAAACGCCAGCTGACCACCTCACCGATCCCGGCCAGGCCCACCCTGGGCCCATGGGATCGGTGTCGACAGGCCCCCCTGGCTGGAGGGCGGAGGCTACGGCACGGATATCCTCGGCCCAGGATAACGGCCTGGCCAGGACCGGCGAGGTGGTCGGCTGACGCCCCACGACCTTCGCATAGGGGATCGACTACAACATAAGTTCACCCCCAGAACTCATTTGCTCATCGAATGTACGGAGATAGAGGCTTCCTAGATGGAGTCCGATGGGATCCAAGGATCGCGCCGCATCGCCAGTGCATCGCCGATGTATTGGCGATGCATCGGCGACTGGCTCCACATCGAACCGCATCGTCGATGCGGCGCGATCCTCCGACCCCCTGTAATTTTACTCGGACCCCATCTAGGAAGCCTCGAGAAGAATACGTGGAATGCTCGCAGACCTACGGAACATCCTACACATGCTTCGAAGATCCGACGAGCAAGTCAACGTGGTGAAGTAAACCAGTTCTATTGTCGACCCCCGATTGGGGAGACCAGCAGGTACCGATACCGCCACGCCTTGGACCCCTCCCGGGGTGTGTCCTGGCCAGAACTCCGAGGCGAACCCAGCAGTGGCGACGAGGGCCTCCGAGGAGGCCCAAGAGGGGGAAAACGAGCGCGATGGGTCCTGTAGACCCAGACATCCGACGTCTCGATTTTTTCGAGACACGGGCCTCCGACCTCCCGACCACTTCCCTGGGACCGGTTTTTCCTCCCGAGTCGTTTTTTGACGGTCCCGAGGCCCGGCGAGGGCCCCGAGAGGCCAAAAACTATGAAAAACCTCTGTCTCGATTTTTCCGAGACGCCCGATGTCTGGGGAGGTATGGGTGCCTCTTCCTCCTCTGACCTATCCCCGAGACCTGCGGCGCCCGGCACTGGCGGAAGCTGCGCGCGGCCGCCACCGGCGCGGCGCGGCGAGGGGGCCCACTCTGCCGCGAGCACCTCCGCGAAGCCGGGCCAGTGCAGCCCTCCGCGCGCGCTGCGCGGGCCCTCCGCACACTCCGGCGGCCCCGCCTCGCCGTGGGCGGCCGGCCCCCCCGGGCGCGACATGGGCGCTCTCAGGGAGCCCGCGGGACTCTGAGGTCGGGCATGCCCTCCTGCAGGCGGCTTCTGCAGGAACGGCACAGAAAGATCGCCCGAACGGGCTCCAACAGGATCACACGTAGAAGCCCCACAAATATCTCCGCCCGACTCGGGTTTTTATTCCACTCCTGCGCGCTCCTCCTGCAAAGGGACGTGCCCGACTCCACAGCGCTCGGCGGCCGCAGCAGGCGCGGACCGCCCCACCAAGGGGGAGGGGAGAGCACCGGCTGCGCCCAGTGGGCTCCGCTCGCGGGCGCCCTCCACGAGGCCCCCCGGCGACTGCGAGGTGGTGTCCACTTCTCGGGCTGCCCACCCCTGCCGCCGCCGCCGAGCGGTGGGCGCCCGCGCGTCGCCGCCGCCCGCGGGGGCGGGGTCGCGGGCGCCCGGCGGCCCCCCGCGTCCCCGCGGGGCCCTCTCGGGGCAGGATCGCGGCGGCGCTCCCTGCCCGACCGACAACCCCCCAGGGGCCCCTCGGGATCGAGGGCCTCCCGAGGAGGTGGCTCCTCGGGGGCGGGGGCGCCGAGGGCCTTCTTGCCGCATCGTCGCAGCGTCGGACCTCGGAGCCCTCCTCTCGTGCTAATCCTCCACCTTTTCCTATTCGTCCGGCGCGCCTTCATCATTCCCGTATGTGGGTGATTCGGCGGGCTCGTAAAACATGTTGCGGCTCACCACGGCCAGAATGACCAGACCTCCCACGTCGAAGACAATCTCCGTTTCAAACGAAAGTGAAGCAAACCCGCCATCGTGCCCCTGGCACGTTGAGGCGTGCCAGAATGCCAAATGCTGCCTGGCAGGCATTCTGTACCCTTCTAAGAGGACCCTATGCCCGCCCACAACGGTCCAAGGGAGCCCCGACTCGCCGAAGAATAGCTCAAAGACGTTTTCAATAATCTCGAGACGACCCCCGACACCTCCAAGACGGCCTCAGAGGCCTCTAACAGCACCCACACGAGGGGAGGGCCCCAAGAGGCCGAAATCATTGGAGGCCTCCAAGTGAGCCTCCCAGCGGCCCAAGAGGACCCCAAAGACAGCCCAAGAAGTACCCAAAACGGCCCCAGAGCGCCCCAAGACGGCCCCAAAAGGGGCCTAATTGGCCCAAGAGCGGGAACACGAACCGAACATCCAAGCCTT